AACATAACTCATAGAAGGGAAAGAAAATCTGGTTTCAATCTCTACAACAAAGCCAAGCAACACATCAAGCCAGAAAGGAGAAATGTCAGCCAGGCAGCACTGGGAATTTTATTGCTTTAGCACAAGTGGTTCTCCATGGTCCCAGGAGCACCCAGGTGCTACTGCAGCAGCTGGAACCCCTGAGCATGGCTCCGGGCATGCAGGGACATGGGTGGCTTCGCAACAAAGCCCCTGCTCCCATATGGGTCCAGGCTCAAGCTTTGGTTTAATGCCCTGGCACAAGTCACAGTTGTTTAGATCTTGTGTGTTGGCCTCTGTGTCTCCACATACCACATCATTTCTTGTCCTTAGAGCTGGTTCCACTTCTTTTCAGGGGATGCTGACCAGGGCTGAACTGGGCAGTCAGGGAGACACTCCCAAGGGAGAGTCCAGACCTGCCACCTCCATGAGCTGCCAGTGGGCAGATCACTCACAATCTACTTTGGCATCCCCTGAATCCAGCAGTCTCTCACGAGGTTTGTGGGCTTCAAAGTCCTTGATTCTTCCTTGGGGACAATAAAGCATTTTAGCATAAACACTCTCATACTGGAGAGCTGTCCTGGGTGTGACTGGGATGGAGGTAATGTTCTCCAGAGCAGCCCAAAGCGGTATGGTGTTGTGCTTTGGATTTGTGGCTAAACCAGCGTTGACTACACACCGATGTTCTGGTTACTGGTAAGCAGTGCTTGCACAACATCAAGGCTGTGGGTGGGGAAGAGGCTAGGAGAGGACGCAGCCGAGGCAGCTGACCCAGATAGACCAAGAGCACATTCCACACCATATGACGTTGAGCTGGGCAAAAAACATTCAGGGGAAAGAAGGAGGAAGGAGAGATGTTTGTGGTCAGTGCATTTGTGAGCCCGAACAGCCATCATGCATGCTGAAGTCCTGCTTTCCAAGAAGCGGTTGCCTATCTGCCTGCCAGTGGAAAGCAGAGACTGAATTCCTCTTTCTGCTTTGCTTGCAAGTGCAGCTTTTGCTTTCCCTATTAAACTGTCATTATATCAACCTGTGAGCTTTCTCACCTTCCTTCTATTTTCTCACCATCCTTTAGGAGAGGGAACTGAGTGAGCAGCTTGGGTTGGTATTTGGCTGATGGCCAGGATCAATCCACCACAAGAACTAACCTATATAGCAAAATTCACAAACTTGTTCATTCTAAAAGAGAAAATACTGAAAAATCAGGTAAAACAGGAAGAAAAAACCCACCCAGGCTAGTTTGGAAACAAACCTACCACTGCAGATGCAGCTGTACAGCTGTGATTGCCGATGGCTTTGAGGTGTGCATCCGTTGGCTATGTCCCAGGTCAAACCATGGCCATTTTTTTCTGTGGGAGAACAGTGTGCTCTCTGGGCAGGGCTGCTTTTGGGGGTTTTGAAGCCAATCAGCAGAAACATGAGTGCAGGTGCTAGGATAAGGGGCAGACAGTCACCTTTTGGTCTGCCACTCTCACTTCAGTCTAGGGGTGACGGCAGAAATGGTGGAGGTTTCTGCCCCAGCTTACCTAACGTAGGCCCTGGTTGTGTGTGACCTCTTCTCTTCTTTGTCCTGGAGGGGCATGAGAGCCCCCTGAATTCTGCCTATTTATGTCTATTACAGTCTGCAATCAAATAGATGAGTTCGGAAAAATTGATATCTTGTAGATGAATGGAGAAACCTCTGAGCTAGGGTATCTTCTCATTTAGGAAAAAAAAATAATTAAAAATCACAAATTCAGTTCTTCCAAGATAAGTCCTTATCCTGAGGAGGCTAACATCTGTCCAAGCTCCCTAGCAGTATCACTTCTGGGAACTGCTGTGTTTAGCTAATGCTAGGTTGGAGTTTGTTGTTATGTCTCTTTGCTCTGCCATGAGCTTTTGGTTGTGCCAAATGACTGCAGCTGACCAAAGTGGTGAAAGGCAATGAGGAAAGTAGTGGGGATGGCCAGGCTCCAGAAACTTCCTTTTCTCTCCACCAGCACTTACCTGCAGGCCTGGGACTTCAAGGTGGCTGCAGACTGTAAAACATGGTTCAAGATGTGGTGCATCTTTGCAATGAGACTGTGAGGAGCATCTTCTGCCCAGCATGAAGCGTCAATGTTGGAGTGTAGGAAGGGAAAGGGTGAGCTGGAGGGCTTCAGACTCTTCCCTGAGATGCTGGCAGAACTTATTGGGTGAGGCAGGATGAACAGCAGGAGTGAGAAGGACCAGAGCTTCCTAGGAGAAAACCTGAAGGGTGAAGCTGATGGCCCAGCAGACATGCCACACAGCGTACTGGAAACTGCTGTTCTATTAATAATCCCATTTTTTCAACAAACTCTCAACCTAGAGAGACTGCACAGAATCAGCAGTTTCTTTTCTTTTTTTTCTTTTCTGATTTAGTAACCCCAATTGCACAACCGGAGTCAATCTAGTGCTGCAGCCAGTGACGGTGCAGCGAGAAATGAAAGCAGAAAGCAGGCTGGGGGCAACAAGCACAAGAAAAGACTGAGCATGTTGGTACATGAACTCTGACATCTGCAGTACTGCTGAGATCCCCGGCATCATGTGCACAGGGAAACCTGATGCCAGTTTGCAGAGGCTGGCATCCAGATGGAACCACACCGGGACGCTGCCAGGCAGCCAGATGCTCATCTAACTCGTGGGAATGTGGCAGCACTTGGAGCTTCATGGCACTACATCAGCTGGGAATAAGGGGAGAATAAAGTTTGACCATCTGGGTGGGGAACCATGGCTGGTGGGCAGTAGTTTGGCAATAGCATAGTTTGTTGGGATCATGACTTTGTCATTGACCTTCCCAAAATAGGTAAGTGGAGATTTAGACTTTGAACCCTGAGGCAGTGCAGATCAGGACTGTCAAAATTGAGGATGCCTAACCCTGCTTTTATATCCATGCCACCTGGGTCACTGAGAATGTCATGGCTAGAGCATAACCATGAGAGGCAGGAAAACATATCTTTGAACTTCTTTCTCAGGGAAGGAGAGCAAAAAGATCTCTCCCCTTTTGAAAAGGACAGCTGCCAGCTTCTCTTTAATACATTTGAAGTAAAATGGAGAAGAGAAGGCTGGGAGGAAAATATCAATGTCTATAAATATCTAAAGGGTGGGTGCAGGGAGGACAAAGCCAGATGATTTTCAGTAGTGCCCGATGATAGGACAAGAGGCAATGGGCACAAGCTGAACATAGGAAGTTCCATCTAAATATGAGGAAGAACTTCTTTACCGTGAGGGTGACAGAGCGCTCTAACAGGCTGCCCAGGGAGGTCGTGGAGTCTCCATGTCTGGAGATTTTCAAAACCCGCCTGGATGCGTTCCTGTGTGATGTGCTCTAGGCGATCCTGCTTTAGCAGGGGGGGTGAACAAGATGATCTCTAGATGTCCTTTCCAACTCCAACAATCCTGTGATCGTGTGGCTTTGCCTAAAATTGTTAAAAGCTCTCAGCTGTAAATCTGGTGTCTGTGCGAACCTGAAACACATCCATCCATATAAACATCCACTTAGCAACACAAATGCAGTCATGTCCGGTTCATCACCTGGCCCATCAAGAGTAGAAGGTTTTAGGCTTGCTCAGAGTGGTCAGCTGAACCACCCAAACCACCAGAAATGGTCTGGATACAAGCCTTTCCTTCCAGTGGGGATGTTACGCCACAACAGGGTAGTCACTATGACTCAGCTGATCGGTGGTAACCTCTCAAGCCACTCTAACTCAAGGGGCTATCTGACCCCTTCACAATGAAGCAAATTATCCCAATTTCTATGCAGTGTGTAGCAGAACACATGATAATAGAGGACTCCTCTTCCCCTTGCTCGTGCCGAACCAAGTCACAGCTGCACAAGCATGTTTGAAAGGAGAATGCAGAAGTGGATTTAAAAATCCCCAGATATTTTTGGTTTAAGCCTTTAAGAGATCTATGTATCAGGTGCAGAACAGAGGGCTTCATTCTGCACTGGGCCATCAGGGTGTGGATTTCCAGCTCACATCTACCTGAAGCTTACACCACGCTTTCTTCCATGGCCACACAAAACCACGAGGATTCAGCAGACCCTCCGATGAGCATGGACCCACAGCCCAGGAGAAGACCCTCTGATGGGGCCTGCCCTGCGCCCCGGAGAGGACAGGACATGGCAGCAGGAGCGTGGGTGCAGAGGGCTCTATCCGGTGCCTACGAACAGCTCTCACCTGTGGGCTTGGGTGAGTCACTTTGTTTTACAAAAACAGAATCCGCCCCAGATGCCAATAGGCCAAATGTCATGGCGAGGTGAGCAGGGGTGAGTTTTACTGGGCATGAGCAGAGAAGTGGTGAGGTGGCAGGAGATATGCCCATGGGTGTGAAAAATGGGTCAGGGAGGAAGCAGAGGCTGGAGAGAGCCTCAGCAAGGAGGCTGCAAGTGGTTCTTGTGCATGGCATCCCAAAACCATTTGGACTTCAGCATTTCTGCTCCCACCATCATTCTCTTGTCTTTGCAATTCCTCCCAATTCTTTCCCTCCTTGCATTTTAGTCACGCACCATTACTAAGTTGTTATCTTGGTGACAGTTAATACGTTTTTTGCTACCATGCAGTGCTTTACCTTCTCTCCCAGGGGATGGGTCTCCAAGTTAACACTGAATCTGAGATCTTCTTGGTTATGTAAGGAGGTTTCTTGTGTTAGGAGCAAAATAGCCACCTCATGCTCAACATAGCTAAAGTGCGGAGATATTGAATAACTCAAGGTTGAACCTCTTGCAGGATCCTGCCCAAGGCTCCATGGACACGGTGTCTGCAAGTGAGCACACAAGAGCAGCTGAATATCTTAGCTGTGGGATTTTTTGAGGAACTATTCAAATTACCACATCAGAGTTCTCACAAGTCTATAAAAACTGAGCAGATAGGAAAAGCATATCAGAAAGCATATCAAATCACGAGGCAGATAGGAAGCCCCTTCAGCTCTCTATTGTCCATAATCTGACAAAGCTTTAGGTTAGCCACAAGAAATCTGTCATGAAAATTAAAGACGGATTAGGGGAAGATGGAAATTTGAGTGATATGAGCACTTTCAGCATTTCAGACAAGATTGGGTTTGCCTCAGCTGCCACCACAACCTTTCAGATAAGTGGTAAGGTTTTTTTTTTTTATTAAATGGTGGATTGATATAGATTTTATCTGGTCTATGAAGTAAGTAGCAGATAAAAATGAAATATTGTATTTATACCGCATATTAAATGTTTTTTACAGTGATTTTACTAGTAAACAAATTGTTATTTAAAGAGAGAAATACGTGAAAATCTCCTTTCTATCCCAAAGCTGTTGCTGAGCATCAGAAAAAATTCCTTCTCCTGTTTTAGAAAATGCCTAATTTCACTCAGTAAAACTTTCATGTCTTAATAGTTGTGATAATGAAAACACCAGATCCAATAAAAAAATGTAAGTTTATGAATTTTAAGCTGAATATAAATACTTCATTGCTGACTAAACCATTCTATTGTAAAATTAATTAAATCATTGTACTCTTTTAAAACTAAGACTTTAAACTGATTACATTACTGCAAAAAAAAACTAATTAAGAGTAACTTCTTGAGTGTCTGAAGAAGTTATTAGTGCTTCTGGAATTTTTTTTTCTCCCTAAAGGCCAAAATTTGACAAAGCAGTTTATTTATTTTACACTTGCTGGTGAGAGTTTGTTTTAAATGTTACAACTTGTTTTCATCTGTTCTGCAGTTGAGGTTATTATTGATTTTTCTTTTGTTTGGATGCATACATGCGTCAGTGCTGGGATCGCATGTATGTGGTGCTCTGTCTGGAGAGGGCATATGCTTTGAGAAACCTTCTTTGAACAAGACAACTAAACATGATGGAAACAGAGTTTATTGATGCAGAAAGGGGAGAATTACCACATTCATACTGTTAAAGGCTGAGTTAAATCTTGAAGGAAGTGAGGTGGTTAAATTGGCTAAGGAAAAGATGGTAAAGTGAAGCAGAGTGCCCAGCCTGCCTTGCCTGCAAGACCTAGAAGCCTCGCAGAGGGACCTTGCTGCTCCCCATCCCTGGAAAACACTGCCATAAAAAAACCAGTTATAGCCAAGCCTGAATTGAGCAGAGTTTGTAGCGAGAGATGTGAGGGAATGTCTACCCTATGGAGATTGAGTGGAGATCTTATTGCTCTCTACAACTACTTGAAAGGAGGGTGTAGCGAGGTAGGGTTTGATCTGTCCTCCCTAGTGAGAGTGACAGGACAAGGGGAAAGGGCCTTAATTTGTCCCAGGGGAGGTTCAGGTTGGATATTAGGAAGAATTTCTTTACTGAGAGGGTTGTCAGGCATTGGAACAGGCTGCCCAGGGAGGTGGCTGAGTCACCATCCCTGGAGGTGTTTAAGAGATGGGTAGATGTTGAAGGACATGGTTTAGTGGTATTGACAGGGCTGGGACAAAGGTTGGACTCGATGATCTTGGAGGCCTTTTCCAGCCAAAACTCTTCTATGATTCGATGGTTCTACTTCTGTTGATGTTTAGAGCCTCAAATACAAAGAAAGCCGTCCACATGCTGTGCTCGGACAGTCCTCGTCATCTACCTGCTGCTGCTGACAGTTGGCCAGGGTCTCTTAGTATACAAAGGTAACACTGCAACCTTACTGTGGGCTTGACATCAAAAGACAGATTTGCTGGGTGCTCTTGGGGGCACGGGCAAGTGGGCATGAGCACATAGGTAAAAATCCTCTGAGGGGGCGCAGACCCTCGTCCACACACTGCCCCTCAAAGCCACGGCTGCAGGAAACCATTCCCCCACCCTGTATATGTGCTTTGCATTTGCAAAGGGGCTCCTGGCTGCAGCAAGGACTGGCACAGGAAAGCCATCTCCCTGGGTCAAACAGTGGTGGTGTTTAACTCCACCGGGTGTTCTCCATGGGTGCCAAGGAGCTGCGTTGCCAAACAGGCATTTCCCAGCTGGATTGGGCAGGGAATATTCACTGCATGGGCCTTTTGTTTCCTCAGTGTTTATGATGCAGAGAGAGATATTGAAATTGCAAGGACAAAATACCTCCTATACAGAAGAGATTCTGGAAAGCTCCTTCGCTGACAAACTGCTTTCAGAGAAAAACTCTCTCTCTGAGCACATGGGACATGAAGAATACTGGAGGAGAAGCTTAGAAGAGGAAATCACCATAATTAAAAACAGCAATGAAAACCTGATGATGATGATGAACAATATCACCTTGGTTGCAGGTATGGCTCCATTTCTTCATGCTGGCTATACCATGGAGAGAGCTGGTTCCTCTGCACCACTGGCAAAGCTGTGCCAAAATCCTTGTTCAAATGAAAAAATGACTCGGGCAAGATTTGGTCTTCCTGCCAGTCAGTGAGACCTCAGTGCCCAGGGTTGGATATTGGCTTCAGATGCCTTGGCTGGGGAACTAGGAGCACCTGGAGAAACTAGAGCACGTCCCTCTGCGGCCCCCCCCCAAATTCACCTGCAGCTTCATATGGAGCTCTGGGTTGTTTTCCCCTCTCATAACTTGTAGACTTGCCCTGGGTGCTCTCTGAAAGGGTGTTATCTTCAGTCCAGATCTCAAGCATATCAATGCCATGCTGGTATGTTCCTCACTGAGTGCTGACTACTGAAAAATATCCATTAAATATTTATTTCAGGGCCTCCTGGACCCAAAGGAGATCCTGGTCCACGAGGTACGTTGGTAAATGAGCCGTAAGAAACTTTTCCTCTTTATCTGTTTTCCCCTTGAGAGACCTGAAGTGAGGATTTGAGATTTCTATCTTAACCCAGATCCTCCCCAGTGTGCAGACACCCAGTGTCCTGGCCATGAGGAGACCTGCTGCACCTTTTGACTGATCCCCTGGGAGCCTTGTCTTGCCAAGTGCTCCCACAGAGGTCAATGACCACCATGGAGGAGCACTTTGACTCTGCCTCCTCACTGCTACCCCACCAGAAAAGCTCAGGGGTGATGGTCATTACCTGCAATGTGTCCCAAATCTCCATGTGAGAAAAGAAAGGACCAGTGAGAGGGTTTATGTGCATTCCGTGGCCAGCAGATATCTAAGCTTTCTGCCACAGACATAGCAAGTCCTGCTGTACATCTCACTCTACGACAAATCAAGGACACCTCTCGAATCCCTGCTCTATAGGGCCCCAGCTGAACAGTCCATATTAAAAACATTGACAGATTTGGGACCTTCCCCACCCTGTGTCTAGGGGAACAACCCTACAAACTAAGGAATGAACTGGGTGTGAGTGCTCTTCTCCACAGCTACACACAAGCTGCTGCCCTGGGTACCTGCAGGGTTTGGGTAGAACTACACATGCTGCAGGAGATGAATGTCTCGAGACTGTGAGGATGCAGCAAGTCCAGATCTCATATTGGCTCTACTTTGAGCAGAGGTTGTACTAGCAATGGCCAGAGAAACCAGAATTTCTGTGATCCTATGATGATGATCTAAGATACAACCCTTGTTAGGTCACGTCTGTATCTCATCCATCTCTAGTTCTTGGCTACATTAATCAGCTGTTCTGAAGAAGAAAATACATAATACATTTTTTTTAAATCATGTTTTCATATCTTCCTGGCTGCACTCACAACACTGAAATAGCACCTTCTGCCAAGCACTGTTATTACACATCTGAGCCCAATAGTTTAGTACATTTTCAGGAAAGCTCTCCCCAAAGGTCTCCACAAGCTGAGCTTGGCTGGAGGACAGCTGGACCCTGCCCAGCCACACACTCAGCTGAGCTTGACAGAGTTGACTCAAGTGCTTGTGCTGGTCCCTGCCAGCAGAAGATTGGCCTCAGCAGTGACCAAAAGCACATGCACAAAGGGTGATTGAAAAATTCATCTCTTCTTCTCAGCCATTACTGTGAATAGATGATGTGTGTCAGCTGATATATGTATTTTACATATCAGGGCTACAGGGACCACCGGGGACAAAGGGAGAACAAGGAATCCAAGGTAAGGCTTTTCTGACACCTTAATTGCTTCTGTGGATGAACATAAAGTGGCTTTATGGATGATTTTATAGGCAATCTTGTCCTCAGTCAAGGTGTAAGTCAGTAGAAATGTCATTGGAGTTGAAAGAAATAAACCTATGTAAAACTAATACGAACAAAAGTAAAATTTAGCTGGGAAAAATTCTTATTTTAGAAGTCAATATGCACCAGTCACAGTGAACCAGTTCCCCAGTGCCACCAGTCCCACTCTCAAGTACACGGAGAGCAGAGTTTGGCTCGTGCCCACAACTGAGCTGTCTGGACTGCTGCTGGCACTCACTAGACACAACATCTGATGAAGCATCCGGAAAGTGGTGTTGTCCTTGAAGGCTTAAGTGGGCTACAGGGTGTGAAGGGGATCAGAAGAGATCCTGGTACTGCTGGCCCAAATGGTGACAGGAGAAAAAGGAGGGATGGGGGTTTAATTTAAGACCTCTTCACTATCTCAACGTTTTTAAGATTCTCCCACATATTCCTGTTTGAACTCATTCTACACAAAACACCAGAATGACTTCTCATAGGTCAGATAGTTCATGAAAATCCAAGTAGCCCTGAGAGTGGCTTGCCAGTCAATGAGGAAGCAAATGAACAAGACACTCGACCTGATCTGAAGGGATTTAATTTCGTATTATGCTCCAGCAAAGCTCCCAGAGGAGGGCTGGAGCAAGGAGACACGCAAATTGTTGACTCTGTACAGTAGAAGTCTCTTTATGGAATGAACTTTGTCTAATGAAAGCCACAGGTATTCAATTATCAGCCTATCCCCGATTAAAGCAGCAATGTTTGCTGTAGGATTTTCATGGTGTAAAATAGTACAATGTAATTTATACGCACAAGCATGAGGATATTAGTCCTCACTTTACAAAAACCTATTTTTGAGAACTTTGTATTTTACATAAGCCTGACTTTAATACACTTTAAGTAGAAGAGTATATGCATCATGCTTCTCCCACCTACCGTGCATTAGTAGGCTGTTACTCAGTGGTCTCACATAGGCTGCACCCATAGAGGAAAGGCTGAAAGCAGAATAGCAAAAGCAAGCAGAAGGTGTGTGTGGTGCAGCCCAGGGAGGACAGTTAGACAGGTTGATTAGATCTTCTCCAGCTCTTCCATCAGATCCCACAAGTTCCAGAGCACTCATTAGCACAAGTTGCTCCAGAAAAGAATGATAGAAGGTGAAGGGTTTGAGATAATTCTAGAGTGAAAAGGTGATGACAGTCTTTTGGAACACGCTGGTCACCTGTCCAGAGAAGAGAAGGCTAAGAGAAGATGTGATAATTCCCTGGAAGCACCAGAGCGGAATATCCTGTCCTCCATCTATACTGTGGCTAGAAGGGAAGGGTTCAAACTGCAGTAAGAGGTATTTAACTAAAAAAAACATTCTAGTGGTAGGGATAGTTTGGAGAACAGGCTGGAGAGGTGTCATGGCACCACCACAAGCCTTTAACGGCAGGTCAAACATCTGGCCATACAGTCGAGCAGAGCCAGAAGTGGCACAGACAGACTCTTGAGGTGCTTTTGTTGTTTTTTGGGGTTTTAAAAAATTTATACATGTGTGCTCTGCTCTTTTATAGGTCTCCAAGGACAGAAAGGCGAAATGGGCAAGCAAGGAAACCCTGGGCCTCGTGGATCCACGGGTCCTCAGGGACAGCAGGGAGTCCCGGGACTGCCGGGTTTCAATGGTAAGCGCATAGGACCCAGTGCAGGCCCCCACCAGCACATGCGTGGCGTGGTGGAGGGCTGCCCTGGCTCAAGCATTTGCCTAAGCCCCATTAGCACTGATGCTAGGATGTTGTTACAGGTAGCAAGGGGGAGCCTGGACGTCCGGGACAGAAAGGAGAGGCAGGTAAGCAGTACAGAAGGTGCAGTTTCTTCTAGAGATATGATGCTGCTTCATGACAAGAGATATGATGCTGCTTCATGACAAGAGATATGATGCTACTTCATGACAAGAAAAAATGCAGCCAGGCTAGATCCTAGCATAGGTAAGAGAAGATGATGGTTAGATGAAGAAATCCTGTCAGTGCTGTGCAAACCCATCCTACAGCCTTGGCTGTCTCATCTGGACCCCACTCACTGTGCAGGAGAGTGAGAGGGAAGGAAGGGTCCTGTACCACAGAGGGACAGGTCCTCCTTCCTGACATGTGCACACACAAGGGCAGAAATTGGTGGCTCTCTTAGAAAAGCACTTGTGCCTCTCAAGGTTGAGAGTCTCCAAGGACCTGGGTCCATACAGCCTTTCACTTCACACCATCACTTGCTGCCAGGCAAGGACTGTAATTCAGAGATACTCAGTGTTTGTTTTGCCTTCATAGAGTCAACCAAATCTGTACAGAGCAGAGACTGGTGACCAAGGTATCTTTCTTTTTCTTCTCCGTCCTATATTGTGTTACATTCCACATGCACTGCTTTTGCTCAACCTCAAGGCGCAACCGGACAACATGGACCTGCAGGAATTCCTGGCCTCGACGGAAGAGCTGGTCAGAAAGGGGAGAAGGGAGACCAAGGGCCCAGTGGTAGTCCAGGTACAATGCTACTCAAACCTATAACTCACTGACCTCCTACTCTGGTCTCCCTTTGTGTCATGGCTTCAGTCTCACTGATTTATTTGTCATTTTAGGAATACAAGGCATTGCAGGACTCAGAGGTGAAAAGGGAAACAAAGGAGAACCAGGTACAGGAAAATACAGGTTTATGGTCAACAACACACAATATGCAGACACTCAAAAGGGATCTGCAACAGAAAGGAGGAGATTGGTTTTGTTCTGTTCTTGGAGCATCAACATATTCCAGGATGCCCTGGTGTGTCCGAGCCTCTGCCCAACTGCTTTGGGGCTACCTACTCACTGGAGGGGTTGTTTCAACCATCTCTAACATGCATGAGGTGGTGTTGCCTGCATTTTTGTATAAGTAGAAAATGTACAAACAAAGCAGCAGCTCAAGATGAACCAAACAACAACCTCCCTACCCTGGAGATAAAGACAAATTTTATTGACAGTAAATCTGTTGGGAAAGGGTATTCACTAGCAAGCATTTGTCTTGGCATCCTCTGTAACACTGCAGGAAGAGGTATCTTCAGATGTCAGCTTAGAGCACATAACCTAGGCCTCTTCTCTGACCTTCCATCTGAAGAAGCCTACCTCTCTGTCCCAGGCACCAAAACGATAGCGTTATGTTCTTCAGTACAAGCTTATTCCAGTGTATTTCTCTTGACTCAACCTTTTAAACCTGAATTTATGTAGTGCACATAACTGCTAACCTTCATCAGGAGGTGCCAAAGGTCCAAGTGCTTCACCCTTCTTGATCAACTGATACCTGGATGATAGAGATGGGAGTCACCTAGCCTAATATTAGGTACATGCGTATGTCTGATACACCTAAATTTACATATCTGGGCTCTCTCTAAGGTCAGTGAAGACCCACCTGGAGGGAGAGTCCCTATCCCATCAGTGGAGTTTAGGATATTAAATAAATGACCAGAAGTTTATCTGCTCTGGGAGAAGATGATTTTCCACTGCCTGTATTCTCCTTATTGACATGATCTGTGCTGAATATAGTGGGAAATAAGACACCTGCTTCAGAAATAGATGTTTATAGTGTAGACAGCTAAACTAGATGAGTTGAAATGCATCATAAATACTAGTTTGCATAAGCTTTTAAAAATGTATAAATATCCATCTTACAAATTTTTGTTTGTTTTGATGATCTTAGGTATTCCAGGGCAAAAGGGAGAGAAGGGAGACAAGGGACCACAAGGTAAACCCTTGTTTGACAGCATGACTTATTCTGATGATGCAAAGCACTGTAAACGCCATGTTCCACTTCTCTGCATCACTGTGAAATGCTTGTCATGTTTCTTTGGGGAGGGACAAAAGCGATGACTCTTTTGCTTTCCACCCAGGCATCCAAGGCCTAACTGGTCAGAAAGGAAGCAAGGGTGATTATGGCAGTCAAGGTCCAAAAGGAGAACCAGGAGTAAAAGGAGCCAAGGGAGACTATGGTAAGGCTGTATGTCACGGGGTCTGTGGAGCTGATGGCACATTTGGATTTGGGACAATACATCACAGACTGGCACATGCTGCTATGGGGCACATTTACAGAGACAGATCAGTCTTCCCAGAAGAAGAATGTGCAGAGTGTCACATTTACACCTTGGAAGTTGTGCTAAAAGATATGCAAGTAAAGAGATGCCTTAGATTTTCTTAATCATGTCTCATCTCTCACTCCCCAGATGGGGATGGCAATGTATGCTTTGTGGAGGTGGATTTAGGGGAAGAGCTCGTTGGTTTTTTTCAAACATCCCTGCTTTCAAGATCAGGATGCTGCAGAGAAATGTGGAGGACTGTTGGGAGTGGCTTTCTGCTGTCCCATGGCAACACCTATAGAGCAAACTCCATGATGTAGATCTTCCCGCGAGTACTTTGGGAGATGTCATACCTGCTTCTGGAGAGCCCAAAGGCTATCAGAGATGTCTTGTTACAGGTAGTAGTGGGAATAAGATGCGTTTCCCTCAAGTTAATGGATGGGACTTTGTAAGTAGACCTTTTCTTGGGTCACACGTTAAGAAGAATTTGCTCTATGTTATCCTACTCTTGCGATGTTTCTTTTACATACCTTCGGTCACTTCAGGGTGTCCATTCCACAAGGGGACAGAGCCCTCATATCTCTGACTCACACATTCAGAAAATGTTAATAACCAGGTTCCCCCCAAAATAGCTGACAAATATCTGTTTGGGTTTTTTTTGAACAGGTTCCTCAGGTGTGAAAGGGAGCAAAGGTGAAAAAGGAGAAGGTATTTGGCATTTACTTCTTTTTTTCTCACTTGCCTTCTGACATCAAAGCTACCTGAGATCAAGCCCAGTGTCCACCGCTGTGCACACTAAGCCGCAGCACAGCTACCAAAACCAAGGGGTTCATGCTCTGAGCTGCAGTCTGGCGTCTCCAGACCCAGGAAAGGGCCTTGAATTGTTTGGATTTGAGCTGCCAGTAACTTCTGGTCCCATGGAAGCTCCAGCTGTGGAGATGGGAATGTTCATCTGGCTTGGGCAGTCACTGCTCCTATCTTCCAACGTGTTCTTTTCCTCATGCTTGTATGACCAATAGAGATATTTTCTTCTCCTCTCAACTGTCAGTGGGTGCTGCAAATTGGATAAGAATCGCAGGAGGAGGCAGGAGGGGTCGCGTGGAAATCTACCATGAAGGAACCTGGGGAACAATATGTGATGATGACTGGGACACCAAAGATGCCACGGTGGTCTGCCGAATGCTAGGATACAACCGTGCAATCTCTGCCTTCACAGCCACAGCAGGTGAGTCTTTAACAGCTTCTCACTTCCCAACGCCTGGCATAGGAGGTTATGCACCCCCAGAAAACACCACAGCAAGGTCCTCTACACAAGTAGCAGGAGAGGAAAGAGGATCTTTTCAAAGGGGCAGTTCACTCTCCTCAGGATGAGGAAGCTGTATGTCAAGCACTGCTTGAACTGTGCCCAAGGCTTGATTTCCAACAAGCCAACTGTACAACACAACACATGCCTTCTATGCACATGGGGCCTCTGGGAAAAAAATGTATATACCTCTTTCTTTTTTCCAACAATTCTTTGTTTTGTTTTTGTTTGTTTGTTTGTTTGTTTAATTCATCTTCCAAAGGCACTGGAAAAATTTGGCTTGATAATGTGAACTGCAGTGGGAACGAATATTCAATCATGCAGTGTTCGAAGCCCGACTGGGGTGTGCACAACTGCTCCCATAGCGAGGACGCTGGGGTAGAGTGTGCTTGATGGGACACTGAGGCTGCCCCGGGAGCCACTGCTCATCTCCGCTCTCTGTAGGTCTCTTCTTCGTAACGTGAACGCAATTTCGTCAGGCTGTGCTTATAGTCTCTTTACCATTTCATAAAAATATTGACAGAGAAAGCTGAATTTTCCATAGATCGATAACAGTTACAAGATCCACAGGTAACCTGAAACATTCTAGCTGTCACGAAAGAACCAGAGCTCAGGAACATGAGCCAGTTCCCAGCTTTTCCAGTTACTCGACATCAGCTCATCTGCAGTAGCTCGCATGTGTGTGACCTCTAAGTCCACGGGGGGGGGGAGATGGTCCACTGCAGCTTAGAGCAGTAAGAAAGAACAGGATCAGCGTGCAGACATGGGCAGTTACTGCAGCTGAGCTGGCTAGTCTGTCTTCATCACAGTACAGTTGTGAATCTGAGCCAAAACCCCCCAGTGAAGCGCATACACCCAAGAGAGCTAATGCTTAGAAATCACCAGGCGATCTCTCTGTTATGCAACTATAAATGTTCTCCAGAAAGACGCTGATCATAGGTTAAAGTGCCAGGGATCAAGGTGCTGCACTATGCTGGTTTAGCATAGACCTCGTTTTTGACCTTGATGAAGTCCCCTGCCTTCTCTGTCAGTGCTTCCTAACCTGTCCCCAGAAGCAATCGCCCTTACCTTATCTGGTGTATAAAGCTAAGTGTTTCATACCTTTAGAAATTAGATGCTCCGTTAAAGAAAAGGGATGATGAATAGAAGCTATAATGGGAAAGTAACAGCTAATTAAGTTTCCAGAGTGAAAACACGGACCTTAAACCAAAAGCTTCCACTTTAACTGCAAGTCTTACATACGTCTGAGACAGATAACTGAAAGTCTTCTTTGTCTTAAGAGCTAAGTCTTTCCCTCTTCTACCAGCACGGGACATCCAGCAGGTGACAAGCGGCTTGTGTGCATGTAGCTGGGCACATTGCAACAACCTGCTTGCAGTCACTGCATTTAAAAGGTCAGAAATGTGTGTAAGTGACACCACATCTCTGCCTTAATGTGAGTCATAATTGCATTTGTCTACATGGCTTTGAAATTTTTTTTTAGTGCTTAGAAATCTAGATATAAGTGGGAAAAAAAATGGTGCTGATAAGAGCAGCAGGGGATGATGTATCCAGGGCCAATGCAAAGTGAGAAGACTCAGCACTGCACAGGGTGCAACAGTGCAGTCTGCAGCAAAGCTCGTCACTGTTTTGAACCAGAGAAAATGTTTGTTATGGGGTCTCTGGCCCCAGGAAAGAAGTCTTGAAAATCCCAAGAGTTTTCCATTACCCACTCTGATGCCTTTGACAGTAGGAAAATGAAGTGAGCTGCTTATGATTCTTGGCCCTGGTTTAAATGAGGCAAGGAACACCTGCCACAAACCATGGGTGAAACCTGGTGAATGACTGAAATGACTGAATGAAAGCTGGTCGAAGCAGACAGTGGTTCATCTGCACGACAGCAAGCAAAGATTTCTTTTCTGGTAGGGAGCCCCACTGGCACTAATAGCATGCTGAGTACCAGCACTTGCGCTAACATGGCTTTCTGCAGGACTCCCACCGACAGTGCTGAGCCTGCAACCATTTCCTTTGTCTTTTTTTTGCATGGCAGTATGTAAATAAAGTATTTCCACTGTTAGGAACTAAAGGATTTACAAGCTGTATTCATGTGTTAATACATCAGCATGTGGTGCTTACATTCCCATTTTCTCACTTTTCCTTTCTTTCCTTACTAATGGGGTATGTTCCTCAGCATTTTTCAGGCTAACTTATGAAACATTTGATTTTTTCATCAGGCAAACTGTCACAGAAGGGAAAGTCACCATGTCCCCAGTCATCACCATTGGAAGGGACTTAAATTCCCATGAACCTCCTTACTGGAGAACAGACATCCAGGGGTTAGATCTGCATGCCTGGGGCAAAGGATACTATAGTCCAGTCTGCCTGCTCCTAAGTTCAACCTGCATCAGGGACAGGTTGAACCCAAACTCTTGTCCAACAGTGTGGCCAGAAACCAGAGCAGGATGTGCTTAACTTACTCCCCTGCTACTTCTGCAGTGCAGATGTAAAAAATCTGTAAAATCTGGAGCCAGAAGGATGTCCTAGCAGTTCAGGAGAGCCTGTGCATACACTGAAGAGTTCAGTGCCAAGTACACAAAATGACATTAATCTTGCAGGGGCTAAAGGAGGAATGAGGATATGAGTGATGGAGGGAATGCCTGTGTTTAAGCTAAACGGCACCATGTCCATGCTGCAGCACAGCCCTGGGAAAGGTCTCAGGGTGACTCGGGCAGGCACACAGCTGGGGTGATGGCTACAGGGGCTGGGAATGCTGCTGCTAAAGGGGAGCAGGCCATAACATGCAGCTGCCTGTCAGCATGGCACTCAGCAGGTATGCAGGAACCACTACAGAAGTGTTCACACCAGTAGAGTTCATTCTGATCTGGGAAGGGAAACAGTGGGCTTGGGATTAGGACCTGGGTTAATATTACCATACTGGCAAAATGAAAGCTCGGCAGGAGAAAAACTGTTGCCCTCATAAAACCACTCTGCAAGCCCAGCCAGCTGTCAGGACACCTGTGAGCACAAAGCTCACATAAGAATTCGAACCCAACCAGTTCTGCCTGCTAAAGTAGAGCATGTCTGAACTGCAAGACAAGAACTGAGATGAGTGCAGGGTGTGCCATGTCCAAGAAATAGCATCCTTTGAAGGGGACAACCGTGGCCAAGCTATGATGCCCATGATTTCACAATCCTTGACTGTGTCAGTCCTGATAGGTCATCTTGGAGAAGTGCTGCCCAGCTGTGAATAAAGAGCAGAGGGTGCTAAGTGGTGGCAGCACAATTTACACCGGATGATCCTCTGTCTAAACCAGAGTGAAACCAGAAAGACATGATCAATGTCATCAAAACAGGAAGAAATTGCTCCCCGTTCCCACAAGAGGTTGATCAGCTGAAGGATTTGTGTAGGCTGTGGGACTGCTAGGCTGCAGGTTTGCTTCCCCACAAGAGCCAGGAGTCCAGATGCCAGAAGCAAATTCTTAAAGTCCAGCTTTAGCAGATTCAGAACTTCACACTGAATTCCACACTTTTAATTCGAATTCTACATATCTGTGGCAGCTCCTCACCTGGTGCAAATTGCCGTAAGTCCTTATTTAATTCCAAAAAGCAAGTGCAAATCTCTTTTTTCGAACCACTGGATAGAACTAGCATAGATACTGCCTGTCCCGAATTATCTTCATGTCAATTCCTTTGTCAAATAAAGATTTCCCAGCAAGGACAACCGCTGGACATATCCTGATGGGACCC